ATATATGTTGTCTGAACAGAAGAATATCATGTGTAAAGATGAAGCAAATTCAAAAAACTTCTATGGTCTTTGAAGAAAGTTACACAAGCTAAATTAGAGAAATGATCGGAGTGCTCACCAAACATTAATAGAATTCTCTTGACATTTTTCCTTTGTATCTGCTTACAACCTCAGTTCGAAAAAAAAAAAAAATCAAAACCATGGGTATGTATGTTAATTTCACCCTTTATTATTATTATTATTATTATTATTATTATTTCTATCTTCCTGCTCAATATTTCCATTAATCAACCCATGGAGTATCTGTCTGGTCCATCTGAATCCTGAGTAAGAGTATGAGATTAGTGCTCATTTAACTTTAATCGTTGCCAAATGCCTTTTGCACAGTTGCACTCTATATTCATGACAACTAATTCCGATAGTTATTTATTAGTAATATATAAAATTCTTTTGCTTGATTTCAGGAACATCTTTTTCATGCATATGGTTATAAGATTGGAAGAAAAGGCTATCACATGCCCGAAACCCCACCAAAGTTGATCAATGAAGCCAACTACCAGTAATTATTTTGATTGCACATGGACATTTCACAAGACCTAATTAAGAGAAAAAAAAAAAAGAAAAAAGGCTAGCATTATTGAGTATATTCCATATATTACTATTGATTCATGATATTACTTCCTTATTTAATAATTTAATGACTAATTTTGTGCAACATATAGTACATGTCAGATTGCAATATGAGATAAAATTTTCCCCTTTTTTTTTTTGTTTTTGACAATTTGGTAACAGATGTTAAAAAAAAAAAAAAAAATCTAAATGTCATTGGAGTTTTATATTATGGGGGAGAATCAGAACACCTCAATACTCCCATCCTGCTAAATTTAACTGATAAATTAATTTAAGTACAGTAATTAACACAATCAAAATCTAAAAAGTCTAACACAACTGGACTAAGAAAAAGTGTTTTGTGATTTCTAAAAATAGTATCCCTCCAAATCTCATCATGTTGGCAAAAGAAAACGCGTTATTGACGAATCGAGAACAAAATAATGCCAAGCTAACTTTATTTGTGATACCAACTCTAAAGCATAAAAGCTTGACAATTTTTATTGGGTGTCAGATTTCAATCTGAACATAAATTAAGAAAAATCTAAAAAGAGAGATTTGTCTTCTATTAAATTATAATACAATTTATTTTTTTCTTATACTAACTTTTCGGTATCTAAAAACCACATTGAACCCTGACTAATTCGAAATTAAGCAGGGTCGGACTCTATATGGAGAGAAGCTCTCACAGTATCTGTTTTTCCATTCATAAAACTTGAATTCGAAATCTTGCTTAAGGAGAACCGAACTCCTTCCACCATAATACAATTTATAACAGTACGTTATAAAAGCTAACAAAGTTAATATCTAGGTATTAATTAATTTATATACAAATATTAATCTAAAACATGATTAGTTAATTGTTAGGTTATACTCTTAATTTGGTCCCTTAATTATTGTATAGACTTTTGAATTGGTCCCTAAACTAAAAAAATTCTTGATTTAATTCTTAAAATTTCCAAATTTGGCTCCAAATTGGTTTTTCTATTAAAAAATAATTGACGTACCCATTATTTAACAATCACGTGTTATATTAATAATAAAAAAAATTAGTTGTTTCTAATGGAGGGACCAACTTTAAGTTAAATTTAAAAATTTTTTAAATCAAATTAAAAATTTTTTTAATTTAAGAACCAACTTAGTGGTCCGTCAATAGTTGAGGGACTAAGTTAGGGTTTTAATCTAATTGGTACATATATTTAAAAAATAAAATACAGCATTAAACGCGCAACTTTTGTTCACCGACAAGTAACTTTTTTTTTTTAATAACAAAAAGATTATGTTTTTGCTCCATCAAAAAAAAAAAAAAAAAAGAAAAGAAGAGAGAGATTATATTTATGCGCTTTTTTTTTCCTCTTATTTTTCAATTTTCCCTTCAAAATCTGATCAGTACGCGAGTGTTTGGTTTCGCGTGGGATGGGAGGTTTCTGAAATCCAAAGCAAGGCATTAAACCTTCCGAAGAATAGATGGTAAATAGCTTTCAGTCTACCGACTCTAGTTCAGAATCATAACTGTCTGAATTTCTAACTTTGGTTCAAACATTCCTTTCAAAAAACTACTATCAGTGTTGCGTTATGAGGAATAGAAGATAGAACTTTTGCCCCATAATAGTACAAACCCAGGGAACCTAAAGATTAGGGCCATCCTTCATCTAATGTTTTTTTTTTTTTGTAGTCCATTAGTCGAGAAAATGAACTGTTCAAAGAAATAACGAAATCTTTATCTGGAGTGTTTAATTTCTGTTTCGAAATTGGAATCCATGTGCAATGTAGCATGATCCTCCCAACTTGTTTCCTGTTTCCCATGTATGAGAATACAGAAACTTGAATGCAGTTCGGTCTAAGGTTCGTTAATTAATTTAGTTTCTTCCTTTCTTTCTTTTGCATGAAATCAGACAGGTTTGATTTTCTTTTTATCTTTTAGTTAATCTGCCCTACACAGAAAGTATAAACAATGGCTAAGCAAAAACAGATAAAGAAAAAACAAAAACAATTGGGAGTTTCACTTTCAATTGAGTCATGTGGACACTAAGTGCAAATGTGCAAGTGACCCTACTCTTCCCCTAGATGTAGTTCAATTGAGTTGGAAAGCAGATTATTGTCCAAGTCACAAAGGCCCTATATGCACACACTTGCAGCAATAATAAGGATGGTGACAATGGCGATGACAACGGTAAGTTCCACCATAACAACCACAAGAATGGAATCTAAGAAGTTTTTGAAAATTCAATGATAACAGAGAAAGAGCTCAGTGCAATGTTCTTAGAGGATAATGTGATAGTGATGCCATTGATCTTTGTTCTGTTTGAGGAACAGAAGGGAGATTCGGCCTTCTGAAATGCGACGGTGTAAGCCTGCTAAGCATTCGGCCCACTTAGACGGCCTGTTAAGAAAAAAAGGCGGGTGGCTCGATGAGGCCCGAGTCTTTTGGGTTCAGAAAGGCTTCAGCAGAGAAGATAAATTACTGGGTCTGGGTGGGCCACAACCAATCCGGCAACTGTATGAGGAGAGATAATGTTATTATTCCACCCTTAATTACTAATTTTATATTTTTTTATTTTAATTAATTATTACATCTTTTAATTTATTAAAAATAAAAATATAAAATTTTTTAAAAATATAATATAAAAAAATAATTATATAAAAAATATATCATATTAATTGTTTAGAGGGTGATAATAATTTTATACTATATATATAATGTGGGACAGCTAAGTACCTCAGTAACCTAATCATTAATAAACAACCTAAAAGTTGGGTCCTTTCATCTATCAAGTCAAGTACTGGCTCACATGAATTTTCATGGGTGGCTTATCTCTTTTCACACTCTGATGTTCATCTTGATCTAACATGTTTGGAAGGATAGAAAAGATTGGCAACCAACCTCCAT